CTTAACACGAGAACTTAACACGTGAACTTAACACGAGAACTTAACACAAGAACTTAACACGAGAACTTAACAGGAAAACTTAATACGAGAACTTTAAAATGCTCTCAGGAACGTCAACGATAATACACAGAAACTCAGGGTGGTTTAAAACTGCAACCTTTTGGATCAGCGTTGGGGAAGAGGCGGTTCCACGACACTTTGGGGCGCATGGGCAGCGACAACAGATAGTTCCTGGCCTTCAGGTTGATGATGCAGAGGAGGTCTTCCTGAGAAGGAGAACCCAGGATCCCTGAAAGCCAAACACAGGACCCGTTATGTTCCCTCAACGTTTCAGTTCCATGAGAAGCTTCTCACACAAACACGTCGGCAGATGAAGCAACACGTGGTCAAACACGAAGACTAACGACTTGACAAGAGTAAAGACTCGATGAGACTCGATGAGACTCGATGAGACTCGATGAGGCCGGCGGTACCTGCGACCCGTCAGCATCGAGCTGCAGCCGCCCCTGAAACCTCACGGACTTCAGTCACCTTCAACTGACACCGGCTGCAAACGACACGGAGCTCAAACGAAAAGTCCTCGTCTGAAAGAAGCAACGCTGCTCTAAAATGATAGAAACGCAGAAAAACTAAAAGCTGCTGCCGGAGGCTCATTGTGGTTACCGTGGTAACCATGCTTCAGTTTCTCTCACTCCCTGACAACCACGTTGTTGAGAGAAAGACAAAAAGTAAGATGATGACGAGCATCTTTCAAATCTTAAACCTCTTACGTAGAACACTAGATTGTAAAACGGGAAGATTATTGTGGTAGGAAATTATATGAGCACCAGCAGCTTTTATTTTGAAAAGACACCAGATCCACAGCAAAACAGCGAGTAACTTCCAGTTTTGAAATTATGATTGTATTTGTATTTAACGTGTTACGATTGTAGTTGTGAATTATGATTAATTTTACCGTTGAGCATATTAAGTTCATAGATTGTTATTTTGGGTTTCAGTTTGGTGTTTGAACAGATAAAGTGAACGGATCATACCACTGTGGTGGGTGAACTGGTTTTACCCGCTACCAGACGGTCTCTTTCCTTTTGGATTCTGTGGGAGAAGGAACAAAGTTTTCTGCTGTGCTTACGTGTATTTTAAGCATAGCAAGTGCTGGTTGAATCACTGGTATAGTAAAATACTGTGTTATGGAGCAGAGACGCTTTGTTAAAGAATGGCAGGACCGATGAGCACAAATTTAGCAGTTCCCATGCTACATGAAACACTGTTCCTGAAGTTACGACGACCATGGACTGAAAACAGCATTGTTGATGGTTCAACAGGTGACGTGGAGCAGTGATGAGAAAAAGACTTTCTGACAAACATCTTCTGTTACTTTAACGCAACAGCATTAAAAGTGCCTTCAAATCAGCTGTTGTCTTGCTGTAATTCCCACCATGAAGAAAGCTCATCAGAGACTCTACTTCCTCAGACGGCTGAGACGAGCTGGTCTGGAAGCTCAGTCCTCACCTCCTTCTACAGGTGTGCAGTGGAGAGCATCCTGTGCTCCAGCATCAACGTGTGGCATGGAGGCTGCACAGCTGCAGAAAGAAAAGCTTTGCAGAGAGTGGTGAAGGCTGCACAGAAGATGTTGGAGTCAGTCTCCCCACCATCACAGACATCTACACCTCCAGATGCAGGAAGAGGGCCACCTGCATCATGAAGGACCCCACCCACCCAGCACACACACTTTTTGGCCCACTCCCCTCAGGAAGGAAGTTGAGGAGCATTAAGTGTAGAACCACTAGACTGAGGAACAGCTTCTACCCTGAGGCTGTTAGACTCATGGATCTCTAACCAGGAGAATCACTGATGTCACCGATTGTTGATATGTGCTGCTGATCTCATGCTGCTGATCTCATGCTGCTGTGTTCATTAGTCATCTGTTCATACAGACTTGGTGTATTCTTAGTTCATGACTCGGATCTTATGAATGTTTTTCTTTACAACTTGTGCTTTTGTTGGATGTAAGCGGGACCCTGCGTACAGTTTCGTCCCACCTCGTGCATCACGTGTGGTGTGTATGACAAATAAATCTGACTCTCTAAAAAACAACAGTTCAGTCACGTAAAGTCCTCCTTTCAGCGACCCGCTGAACCTCGAAGACGTTTGTGCTGTGAAGTGTGAGCTAGCTTTAACGCAGTTTAACGAAGCCAGCCATCAGTTCAGGACAGAGCTTAGGCCAGGAGAAAGACACGGCCTTCCATTGACAGCGTGGATAAGAAAGAGGGCGCGGCCTCCTGCAGATACACCGGCAGGTTCGGTTGAGAAGCTCCGACAGAAGCAGCCACGGTTACCCAGAATGTGGTTGAGCTGATCCAGGTAATGCTTCCCCGGGAAGATGGGTCTGTTGGACAGCATCTCTGCCAGGATGCAGCCCACCGACCAGATGTCGATGGACTTGGTGTAGCCCTGAAAGAGACAGAAGCACCAAGGTCACACCAAGGTCACACGCTTCCAAAGGGAATTAAAAACCACCTCTAAAACAACACTGTACTGGACTGGACGTGGCTGAGGTCCACCTCTTCACACAGAAAATCTCTCGGCACCGACGGCAGAAAAATGTAAAGGTAGCGTAACTCGGCCGTGGCGGCCATATTGTTTGGAGAACGCAGACGCAGGAGAAGTGACTGACCTTGGAGTTGAGCATGATCTCAGGAGCTCGGTACCAACGCGTGGCGACGTACTCTGTGAGGAACCCGGTGTGATCGTGGTCAGGATCGGCCACACGAGCCAAACCGAAGTCACAGATCTGCAGAACAAAGACGCGATCATTAAAAACTTTCTGGGACCTCTGAGTCCAGACCCCCGGTAGTTTCCCTGCAGAACATCAACCGGTACAAACCAAGACTTTTGTATCCAGAGTAATAAACCAATCAGAGCAGGACTCGGTCTTTTATTTCCACAAACTCTGACACTTTCTAACATCCAAACTTTCGGCTCCGTCAGGAACCAAAGTGCTGCAGTCATGCTTTCTGCCATCTCAAACAACAGCTGGATTAAAACCAGCGGCTGGATTAAAACCCAAAGGTTGGATTAAAACCCAAAGGCTGGATT